GAGTTAGAAAATTAAAAGCCATGTGCAGACTGCCTGCTGTACGTTAAAGGCAGCCTGAGAAACTGCAATAAGAAAAATTAAACAAAAATACCTAACCAAAAAGCCCCAGCAGAAACAACAAAGACCCCCAAACATTAAAAAAACAAACAAACAAACAAAAAAAAAACCAAGCCAAAATACAAAAAAACATAAAAAATCAACACCATCAGACTCCAAAGAAGAAAGCAAGCCATGCAGTATAATAAGTTTTATTGCTTATAGTTGATTGGGAAAACAGTAACCAGAGGAGTTAGAAATAGAGAAATTGCTACAAAACTTTTGCTAGATGATAATACAAGGCAAATAGAATTTGTTAGATCTTACTCTTGCAACTAGAACTGAAAATTTAAAAAAAAAGAAAAATGTGCATGAGACCTCTAAATTCACAGACTCAGACTTCATATTTCCTCTCACTTGGTGGTGAATATTCCTTTCCAGTGATTCATAGGACTTTAAATCATGTGTAACTTAAAAAGCTGTAATGGTAACCATAACATAAGATGCAGAGGCCTATATGATAATGTAAATACGATTTTGAAAACAGTAAATCAAACAAGAACTTGTAATTTCCTCAGTAATAAAAGAAGCGTCCTGGTTCCATTCCAGAAGTGTCCTGTCTTTTGCTTCTGGATCAGATTTTCTAAGTGATGCTAACACAACCTCAGCTGGAGTTTTGGGGGATTGGTTTGTTGGCAATGCCAATTTTAGCCATATGAGGTGTCGCTGAGCCAAATACATACATGCTATTAATAATCTAACCATTGACAAACTTTAATGGTTTTTAAATTAAAGTGTTTTTAAGAACAATATCTGACAAATGTATTCTATGAAGGGTAGAAGGCATAAGGTAAGTTTGAGGAATTAGTCAGGAATCTTTAGCTTTAAATGACTGTAAGTGAATCTGTATAGTGACTCTAGACCTGGAAATTCATAATCTTCAAAGGATAAAGTGCCTCTGGGTGTTCTTTGCAGTTTTTGTACTTACAGCACTCCACTTTTGACTATTTAAACTTCAAACTCCCTTTTTAACTTTGTCACTCACAGTCTGTCCAGGCTGCTAAACCTGCTCTGAAAAAATGCCAGACATATTCAGTCTTTAAAAATACTGCCAAGCAAGTGCTGCCCCGAATTTTTCTCCCCCAAAAAAAAAAAAAAAAAAAAAAAGCAAAGAAGAGCTTAATATTGGGCTAAATGTTACATTCTCCCCTTTGTACAAAAAGTGAGTCCTGAAACTGATGGCAGCACCACAGTTAGAAACACAACCCTGCCTCTGGCAGAAAATAACATTTCTATTATTAGCATTTCTCAGTTCTCCTGGTACACAGGCACAGGGAAGGGCAATGGCTTTGCTGCCTGTCAGCCTCTCACTTGCACTGCCAGAAATATTCCCTCAGAGTTAGGATGACGTTTGGAAGCAGAGCAGAAGCTCAGCTCCCGTTGTCCCTAAACAAGGCATGAACTGAGAAGTCAGACTTGTTGTGACCTACTGTGTCCTCTCTTTGATGAGTCAAACAGGATTCTGGGTGAAAATAAGAGGGAATAATTATCTTCTTTCCACCAGCAAGTCTCTGTTTCTCACTGCCAGGAACGTTGCTAGAACTAGGACTGCAATGTAATTACAAGCCCTCTCTGAGTACTTTAACTTCTGCAACTGTGCAGGATAAATTATTGTCAAGAACATCAGAACTGATCTCTCCACCTCAGTAGGGGTGTTCTCAAATGTAGAAAAAGAAACTGAAAAAGCTGTTCATTCACCGGATATAGTCCCAAAGCCTACTGTGAAAGGGATGTACTCCTCTCCCCCAGGAGAGGCCCGTAAGGAAACAAGCAGCATTTCTGCTCCAAGACTGGGAAAGGATGGAAAGAAAATAGGGAGTCCAGGTGCCACCCAGAGCTGACTCACCTAACCTGGAACCTTGGAAGTCTCTCCTGAGCCACTGCTTAAGCACAATGGTTAAACATTAACTCAGGGAAAGCATCAAAATTTGCCTTAGACCTGAGTATTCCCAGCAGCTGTGTTTCTGCCAATTCCCAGCGCTTTCATCTTGACAGTGCTGAGCTCTGCAGACCTCTGATTCTTACTGGGGTTCAGAAATAACATCACCTGCTCCATGAAACTCCTGAGGAGTTCAATCCCACGGCTGCTCTGAGCCCAAGTTAATTCCAGTGAGTGTTCTGAGACTAAATTTAACACTTACACCAAGGCTGGGGGGATTCACAAAGCAGCACCAGCCACTTCTTCCCTTTGAATAACCAAGGAGCTGCATCAGAGCTGGGAAGAAATGGAAAAGACATTGTCAGATCTTTACAGACTTTCAGAGCTTCTACTGCATGCACTGAGAAATACACCTGCTATTTATAAATTATTATGGTTTGGCATCTACTGTTTTTAATTTGAGAAAAAAGTTCAATTTCACATGCACGACATTTATACACAAAAGTGTATAAATGAACTCAGAAACTGGGTAAAGTATCAAGATTGAATTAATTTCAATAAAAGCAATAAAACTGATGCTGTTGAGTAGTTTCAAACTGTGACTGTCAGCAATGCAAGAACTTGCCAAGATGTCCTGATTTTCTCTTTATTGAAACACAATTGGTACTAATTTAATGAATGCAGAAATACTGGCCACAGTAAAGCAACATTATTTAGAAATAGAAAAATACAGACGGCATGCCACCACTGCATGGTAGCCTTTGTGTACAGCTTCCTTCCTTTTGCCTTTAAGACCTCAGAACGGGACAAATATGAAGGCAAGAGCCAGCAAACCAGAACCTGGACACCTTGAAGTGCTGACCTGACAAATGAATTTCAGTTATTCCATCTGATGGAAAATTTCCTTTATTTCTACTTGCTACATCTCCCTAAGCAGGATTAGAATGAATTCTGCAAAATGCACATTTTCACAAATTGTTTTCCTATAGCCACAGATCTCCATTTTTTATTACTTTCTTTTAGTAGGACCAGCTACATGAGATCACAAGACCAGAGGCTATGTCAAAAAGAAATTGAGTCAGGGGAGACAAGATTTGGCCTTCCCACATATTCTGAGTGAAAAGTCATAAACAGACCAGACATGATCTGCATTACTAAAATATACCCTCATTATTGTGGATGTGGTTCATGATTCAGCTAGGGAAAAAAGTTACTTTTCAGAGGAATGAAATGTCAGATTTATTAGGCTTCGGTTTCTTTCGGGGTTTTTTTTTTTTGGGTTTGAATTCAGTGTTCCCAGAAGAAAAGGCCATATTAATAAGGAGACTCAAGAACAATTGAGTCTTATACAGCAACAACAAGACACATTGCCACCCCATAACTGATGGCCCAGAAGTACCACCTGTCCTTACAGACGTGTGATTACAAATAAAACAAATAAAACTTCTCAGATTCTTCCACAACTGGTAGCAGCGGCCACACTGGAAGGAGAGATAAAGCACCCTCAGGGCTCACTCATGGTCCATTCTACAGTAATTTGGCTTGGAAAATTTTCACACAAAATGTTCTCACCTTTCCTTCCATTCTCTCATCACAGATCCAGGACGTGCAGCAAGGAGCTTGGTGATTCAAAGCAGAATGGCAATGGTTTTCTCTTCTCCTGAACTTGTTCAAGCTGTTAAAGAAGGGATGATGCAGCTCACGCTAGTAAGGGATTACTCACCAATCCAACCAGTTTCCAGGCTTTTGCATTCATCCCTGCTTGCCCCTGATAGAACAAATTATACATGAGATATCTGCGTTCTGTAGAATTTAATTAGAAACACTGAGAGGGAAAACAGACATGAGAAAGAATTTAATTATTTAACATCATTCAGATAACCAGGTTGCCCAGACTCAATAGCAGTTGGACTGTGTTACAGCTGGTGCTTTGAGAGCTTCAGCTTCCTTTGATTCCTTATTCCACATAAATTGAAAGACACCATGGGCATATATTAGTTCAGATTTTCAATTCTTTCTGAGCAGATAATATGGCTAAAGCTCAGCAGCCAGCTTAGAAGAAAAGGAAATAGTGTCTCTGTGAAGTTAATTTGCCAGAAAGCAAAGGGCACTGTCCTGTAGTTGCCCATAACCCTTGTCTGTCACTGCCTTCCTAGGAAGCTGGAAGAGCTCAGTGTGAGGGATGGACAGCAATTTGCAGTACTCAGTCCACAATGTGCAGATCCTGCTTAATTTTCAGTCAAATTATGGGCTAAACACTTTTATCTCTAGCTGGGAAAACACAGACATTGTCTTCATGGAGAGCACTACCAATATCCATAAAGAGAAATGCCTGGACTTTTATTTGACTGAACCTGTCATCCACACAAACACGCAGGAAACAACCATTACAAGGGATCAAACCCAGAAAAGTCAGGAGTGAAAGATCAGAATTCCATGAAAATTTGATTCATCAAAACAGAATAATTAATCTGTTCAGTCGCTGGAAAGAAGCGTTGTAGCTGCTAGTCGAGATGGCAATTCTGTTTTGTTTTTCAGATGCCCACATGTCTAAAGAAAATTAGATCATTAAATTGTTTTCTAGCTACAGAGAAGCCATCTGAAGGAAACTTTTGAGCTTTTTCAACTTGAACCAGGCACAAACTCAGAATCTGAAAGGAAAGGTTCTTCTCTTGGGCCAGACACACACATGGAATGGTGGAATAAAAGCTGATGAATGCAAAAGTAGCAGTTACCTCACTGCAGCTACTCTGCTAATTCCTCTCCTATTAACACAGTGTGCAATTATGTATTTACATTTTTTAGCCATCTACAGATGTGCAACCATAAATTGAATTATGCATTCTTCTCAAAATGAAAGTTATAATGATATATCAAAAATGAAAATTGGAACTGGAAAATTCATCCTTTTTTCATTTATTCCAAGTCATTACTCATTTTTCCACATGCATTATTCTGCCCAATCCTGTGTAAGAAAATGCAGTAGATATAGGGAGTCACACACACCTTAATGGCAACTATTTTATTTACAAAGACATGAGCAGGATTGCTGTCCATATAGATTTACACAGAGCTCATATTAATATAAAATAAACTGTCTACAACTTTGAAAATTGAGGTTGTTTAAAAATTTATAAGCTTTGTGTTCCTCAGCTACTTTTCCACGATTATCTCATCTGTAATTCAAATTAAAGGTGTTGTAAATTATTATAGAACAAAATTGTGGGGTATTTTTTAAAAGCTCTGTATCAAAGGTAATCATCTCCTCATGATGTAAAATAAATTGTAAGTAAAATACATGAGGGTCTAAGTTTTATTCTGGAAGCTGTGCTGAGGCTGAGTTTGAATAAATAACCTTGGTCTCTTTAAAGAATTATCTTACTTGACAGAAAACAAAACGTGGGGGTAAAAAAAGTCAGGAAAAAAACATCTTACAGAGTGATATGCAGTGGAAGCCCAGTGACCTTTTTGTATTTTGATGATTCCCAGTTGCTCTGTAATGCCATAAAATAGAGAAAAATTAGTTTATTCTTCTGAAATCATTACCAAAATTCTCTGGGCCATTAGGCAGCAGAGAGATCTCTCGCTCAGGAACACTGAAATTCTTCATTCTCTGTATCAGACAAGTTGCTCCACCACCACAAATTCTGAAGTAGATGTTATGCTGGCACTGAGCAGGAGATTGCTTTTTCCTCTCATGACCAATAGTTCAGAGAAAGTTTTCAGCACTGATAAAATAAGTGTATTTTCAGTTTGAATTACACAGAATGTTCTCCTGACATCAAAATAATCCTGTTTAATGTTAAGGGGTTTTGTGAAGATTACAGTTTCACCTCTCATTAAATTTCCAAGTATCACGCACTTACATTCTGTTTCAGATAACAGAATCAAAATCTTCACTGCACAAGGCAAGCACCTGATATTATAAAAATCACTGTTTTCCAAAGCATTTCCTGACAAGTTGACTGAAACAAGCACTTTCTCATGAAAGGTTTCTGTTTTGCTAAATTACCACCTTCAACAACAAAAATGTCTCACAATATGACAAGTCTTGTATTTTTTTAATGAAACCTATCTTTCCAGTTTCTGTTAATACATCTCTACAAGAAGCAAACTCTTTTACAAATGGCAATTTTCCCGCATTTCAAGACTCCTATCTGAAATTATGACGTGTGTCAAAGCACCCTGTACTGCAGTGTCTGGCTGTGAAGGGCTCTGGGACATTCCTACCTTGTAAAACCCATCATGAAATGGGTCAGTTTTGTCAATGAGGAAAAGTAAAAATGGACTGATCTTCCAGTTTTAAATGCTTAACACATCTGTACAACCAAGAGAGGACGAACGTGTAACAGTTTAGAGGCAAATTGCACATGCTCATTTTCAAAATCCACACCACAGAAACACTTCTTGTGATCTGCTCTCTATTGTCTTTGTCCCTTCCAGAGAACTCTCTTCCTTAATTTCTTTTGCAGAAAATTAAATATGTCTGGTTAGAGCAGTATGCCCCACATTCTCGGAGCATCTAAAACATGCTGCTTCTTTGCCCATGGCTAATAAGCAATAAAATACTCCAAATCAACCTTCTCTTGCCATCACACTAACAAAAATTTATGTTCCATGTTTCTCTCTTTTGTTGCTCTTTGCTCTCCACACTCAGAATTCCTCTTTGCCAATGTGACAAAATCTCCTCACCAATATGTCAGACATGCTTTGGTCAAACCTCCTGAAAAAAAAAAAAAAGAGGAAGGAAAGGTGACTTCTCAAGTTGTTAAAAATACCAACATTTCCCAGCATCACCCTCATTCACCTCCCACACACCCACCAATCCCTCCAAACACTGCACCAGAATGTCCTGAAATTCCAGCCACAACAAGCAGACACCCTCAGAATCCCAGGGTGACAGACTGGTTTGGGTTGGGAGGGACCTTAAAGACCATCCCAGGCTGTTCCAAACCCTGTGTTAGGGATGTTGATGGTGGTTAATGCACAGGGCAGTGTTGGTGGGCGTGTGTTATTAGGATGAGCAACTCAAGCAGGGCTAGAAAAGCTAAAGGCACTTCTGCCCATGTTTGGCTGACCTGACTGATCCAGATTCCACTACAAAACTGATGTTTTCCAGTGTGATTTGCACAGTACATTTACTTCATCTGAAATAATGATGCCTTTGCCAGAGGCAGGGGGTAGGATTGCAACCTTCTGTGTGATTAGAGTAAAATCACTCTGGAACTGACCCTTGTTCGCCTCTCTTGCCCTCTTTCTTAAGAAATCAAACACTATTAAATACTTGGTTTTATTCTCATTGGACTTAAAATAAATTATTATAACAAAAGGTCAATGTGCTTTACAAAATGGAAAGAGTAATAACTTCACAGAGTTCGCAGTCAATCTTGTGTGGTTGATTTCCTCCTTGAAGGCATATTTCATTTAAATAGATTTCTAAAAGTTGGTTAATGTAAGACTAGATCTATATGTAGCATATCAGCCCTTAGCTCTATTTGAAAACAAGACACTAAAATTTGCAATGAAAAATAGTAATTAAATATTTATATTATTTCTTCATGCCTATTTCATGAATCAATCTTCTGAATCATCATTTCTCTTAGATTTTATAGCCCTATATTTTATCATTAACAATCACTGAATACTAAAATGAAGTCTCTTCCATGACAGGGAAAGAAACAAAAACCAAAAAACCTACGAACCCATCCTAACAATCAACTAATAAGCAAACAAAAAAAAAAATCAAAAAAACCCAAAAGCAAACCAAAACAAACAAGCAAACACCAAAACATAATTCTGAAGTTAAATCATTGTTATTCCCTTGGGAAAATTATTCAAGTTAAAAAATCTGTAGGAATTTTAAAGAACTGCACTCCTAATTTTCTTCAACATTTCTGAACGGGCTAATTTTATGTGCTGTGAACAGTTAAACTGATTTTGGTCAAACTATTTCAAGTAAAGTAAAATGTGGAAAGGTCTGCAAGAGGTCCTAAATCACCTCAGCAGTGTGTCTATTTTGTGTTCTGCTGTTTTCTATCTCTCCAGTTCCAACTATAGCTGATGGTTTAAAGGATGTGGCAATATGAAGTAAGGTAAAAAAATATTAAATTTTATTCAACAGCTCCAATCTTCCCTCAAATGCAACTATTGTCAAAATACACATATATATCTGTAATATATATACAAAATGTATATTACAAAAACATACAGTCACCAGGCTTTCATCAGCAAGGTACTGACTCCTGTCTGGAGAAGCTTAAAAAACAGTAGTGTCTTTCTCTCAACTGAGTTTATAATAGAAAAAAAATGTTTCAGTCATTTTCTGTGCAGCAGGAAAGGAGATAATTTTTTATCAGCAGTTTCTAAAAAATCATTAAGGGCTCAACTGCTAGTCTTTGCCTGGCTGTAAATTGAACAAAGGGATCTTCCATTCCCAAACAGGATGAGAATTACCAGACAGTGGTTATCCCAACAAAATTCCATTATATCTACAAGCTATCAGGGAGTACAGGAAATGCAACCAAATGTAGGAAAATCATGGCACGCCTGATGAAAGAAAAGAACAGGTAGAACAATCAAAAGTTCTGTCTCTAAACATTTGAGTTTTATATAAAAACTCATCTATCAAAAGATATGGCTTCTGTCATATCTTCCCATTGCAACAAGTTCATTTTCTGTTCATCTGACAGTAACTTGTCCTGCAAAGAGGCAAAACACTTAAATGGAGCATTCATTCCTCCTCCCCAGTGGATGTCTGCTCCTTGCAGAGATCTCAAGAATTCTCTTCCTGAATTTTTGCTTTTTTAAGGCCAAGTGACTGTGCAAACATTTTCCCAATGGAAAGCAGCCAAAATATACTCATGTAGCTAGTTTAAATTCATTTGCTGTAAACATGTTATTCATTCTTCACCTTTTCAAGTGGTACGTGCTTGTGAGGGGAGTGAACAGGATTAGCCCAGCATGTATGAATAGATTTTCATAATTAATACAGTATTTGAATTCTTAATCCTTGTATGCTTTAGGTGCTGAAAAATTCTTAAGGCATTAATGAAAAACAGTCTTGCAAGGCTTTGAGAGAAATGTTTCTAAGAAATGGATAGCACAGGCAGTAACATGCACTTTTCCAGAGATTCTTTTCTTCTGAATTATTTTAATTGTGCAAAGACTGGATAAATGTTTAGCATGTGGTTCTTCTAAAAGTAAACTGAAAGTATAAAATGAGAAGTACTCAGTTAGAAGAAAGTGTCATTTATCAGGCAAACCAACTCTTTAAAGCCCGGCACACTGTCATGATCTTATCTACCCAGAAAAAATAGAAAATTGGATGTAGATTATATTTGAACAATAAAAAAACCCAAAAAGGTGGTTCTAAATATTTTGCATTATAAGCTTTGTGGCTATAGTTAATTGTTTTGATTAGATGGATGAATAGGATTAACAGCTAGTTAAAAGATAGAGTTTCATTAAGCACTAAATCAAAACAGATGAGAAACATCAGCTCTGAATACCATATTATTGCAGGATCCCTAATGGTGTCCAAGACACCAGATGCAGGTGTCTGAGTTACCTCCCCTAAAAACTGTATCATTAGAGGATGCCATATGTTTTAATTCAGTGCTTTTCAGCTGTAACACATACTTATTTCCAATTATTACAGCAATGTTTTGGACTGCTAATGAATAAAGTGAGGTACTGAGGGATTGTTTGTCTAATTGAGGGATTTACTTCACATTAAGAGGCCTCCTTGCAATCTCTTTGTCCTTTTGTTGGTAAGCACAACTTGAAAAGCATCCAGCTTTTACTTAAAAAAATTTTTCCATTTATTTCAGCAGGTGGAATATTTCTTTGACAGTTCCTTTTTACTATTATAAGTGTGTATTTCAATCTTCGTGCTGTCATATGATTCTGAATTTTAAGAAATTTCTTTTGCAGGGTTATTCTCTTATCAGAGAAAAATATCTAATGAAGAGCATGTCTTATTAGAAAAGCCCGGTGATTTCCCTCTCACAATCCACAGTTCACACCTTTTTCAGGCAAAAAGCTGCTAATTCAGGCATCCTACTGTGGAGCTGAAAGAGCTGCAGCTGGATTATCAAGCACTGTGCTAATGAGCAATTCAGCTGCAAGAACACCTCTCCTGTGAGGAATGTTCTGCGGAGAAAAGATGAAACCTCACAACTTTGTAAAAGTTGTAAAGCTTGGTGTGTTTATTACAGCGCTGGACGCATGCGGAGATTGCTCTCCTCAAAAAAGGCACGCGTGCCTCTGAGAACTTCAGGTCTCCTTTTATCTCCCCTTCCAAATACATATGCATACAGTTTCACAATAGGTTCATACATATTCATTCCGTGTGACATTTATTGCCAGCTCCTCTTTATCAAAAGAATTTGTAGGTCAGGGCAGAACGGCCTTGTGGTTGTTTCTGGTGTTTTTTTCCTCTGTCTCCTCACTATCTCTGTCCTGCAGTTTTCCCTTCAGCTTTGGCCTCACAGATTTTTCACCTCTCCTAGACATTTTACCTAATTCAAAATGGATTTTTACTCTGTTTCAGGAAAGGCCGAGAACTGGATTTGTTCATCCTGGAGAAGAGAATCCTTGGGGTGACCTCTCACTGTGGCCTTCCCTGAAGGGGCTGCAGGAAAGATGGAGAGAGGTTCTTCATAAGGAATGAAGTCAAAAGGACAAGGGCAGGGATGGATGGGATATTATGAATTAGGAATTGTTCCCTGGCACAGGGTGCCCAGAGCAGCTGGGGCTGCCCCTGCATCCCTGGAATTGGATCCCTGTGGCTGGACATTGGGGCTGGGAGCAGCCTGGGATGGTGGAAGGTGTCCCTGCCATGGCAGGGGTGGATCTGGATGGGCTTTGAGGTCCTTTCCAACCCAAAGCAGTCTGGTTGCCACCCCCTGCCACAGACTGGGACCCTTTTTACTGAGGTTGCTCAGGGTCCTGTCCCACACCTTGGGCTCTATTATCTACCAGACATGCCTCACAAAACTGCTGTTTGGAGGAAAAAAACAAAAAGGGTAACTTTCTCTCCCTTACTTCCACAACCAGTTAAGTATCACAGAGTACATAGGCCTGTGCACAATGTTGTTGGATAACCTGCAAAAATTCAAATGCATGAAGGCATCTGACTGTTCAAAATAGCACATCAGGACAGGTAAGAATAAAGAAATTAGAAGTATGAATGCTTTGTGCCACCTTAATGCTTCATCAGACTAAATATTTCATATGTAGGACATAAAAAATGTCAAGGTACTGGTATGAATAACTCTAGGAGATTACAGAGTGGGGAGTTGTGAACTGAGTTGTACTTCAGGCAACTGAAAAGGATCGCGTTCTCTGCTTTGTGCCAAAATCCTGACAGCAAAGACAAGCCCTAAAGAGGTTCAAGAAAAGGTTTTAGAGGCTTTCATAACAGACTGAACAGTCCCATTCTAAAGGAAACATGACTCACCACGTCCTGCCACAGGGGACTTGTGTTGGATACGAGTTTTTCCTGCTGGTCTGGGTGTCCTGAGTGTGTGACAGCTCCTGACCTGTCCAGTGTCTGCTGGACTGTGGAGACACATTCATTTATTTACAGATGCTGTGCCTTGTTTTTTTTCTCCCCAGTAAGCTCTGCACATCTCTATCAATTCCAAGCAAATGCTGGATGCCAAGTCACCACAGGGTATGTGTCAGCGTTTGTTAAACACACTCTGTACACTCTCATTAATTTTACATGGCTGGTTTCACTGTTGGGGAAATGCAAATGGCAGCACATGGCATTGCCCTGTGGGGAAACAAGGGAAATGCTGCATATTTTAGTAATGCAGGATTCATTTTTCCTGCTTTCATAGACTTCTTTGCATTCTTTTGCTGTATGGGTGGTTTCTGTGCCACTTCTTACCTGCCTAGGGCACTCCTCTATAGACAGGATTTTTTACACATGACTTACAAATCTCTGATTTTTAAAAACAATGAAAGATAGGCTTTCATGGCAAGAGAATACTTCTGGAAAGAAGAAAACAACCCCTTAAAAAGAACCCAGCAAAATCCTTCTTCCCTCTGTATCTGTCCATGGACTTTGGAGGAAGGCTCACTTAGCATTTCAGTTCTTAAGTCTGCATATTCTCAGTCCAAATTCCCTATTTTAGGACTCAAGAAACAGGATTAGAGCAGAGTTGCATGAACATCCTGCTTGATTTGTGAAGATAAAAGGAGCACTCCTCCTGCAGCAACTGTTTTTACTGTGTTGTGGGAATCAATTGCAGCTGAGGATTTCTGTGGCCAATTGATGGGGAGCAGCAATCAGGGCTGGTGAAGCACAAGGTTGATGTGATGTCAGGGGAGCATCTAGAGGGGAGGATTGGGCAAACCTGCTGCTCTGATGGAGCACATTTCTCCTAATCTCAGTTTGTAGCACTCATCCTCTGCCTCTGCATTTTTCTGCCCATTTTCACACTATTCACTCAGGATTGCTTTACCTCAGCCAAACCCCTGAGCATAAAAAGCCCATCCTTTGCAGATCCCATGGATGTAGAAGGCTGCTCTAAGAAAAATACCTATAACAATTTGTCTTCCACTTGAGCCCTTTGTCTCATGACCAGCGGCCTGGCACCGTTTTAAAAGCACAAGGTTGGATGTACCTGCTGTATTTTCCTTGGGCAACAGTTAATTTATGTTTTCTTACCTGATGTCAGCCAGAAATGATGAAATGTGAGAAGCACAAGATGTACAAACACCGTTCAGCCCAGGGACTCCGCTTCCACTGAGAACTAAATATATTCCTATTTCTACCTCGCTAGCCTCTAGACATTCAGCAGCAGCCAGCTCCTTTTCCAGCATTTTACAGTTTCAGAGGTTTTCAGTGTGTTGTGGTGGTTTATTTTAACAACATCCTGCTTTACTTCTTGATAGTTTTGATCTTGTTATAAACAGCACATCTATCACTCCCAGATGTGAACAATACTAGGTTAGGCACACTTGATAGGAGGGACTCTGCTTTTCACTTCACTGTAAAAAAAAAAATCAAACACTTCACTGTAAAATAAAATAGATTTCAAAAAAAAAAAAAAGAAAGAAAAAAGCAAAGCAAAACAAACCACACACACAAAAAAAAAAACCCACACAGAAATAACCCAGAAAATTGAAATAAAAACAAAAAAAAAAACCCACACAGAAATAACCCAGAAAATTGAAATAAAAACACACGCACAAAAAATACTGCAAAAAAAAAAATCCCTAAACTACAGAAAAACTTAACTGACTTAACTGAGCAACTTCATTTCCAGTCAGAGTCATAACTTGAAAAAAAAAGTCCCTAGAGTTGGTGATCAAATAATATAAAGACTATATTTATGGTAGCTCAAGGAAGCCAGAGCCATCGATGCTGCCTCTGGAACAGCTGAAAAGATAGCATTGCACTAACAGAAATAAAAAGTTAAATATGTTTTAATTATTTCTAAACCTCTGGCCAAAAATAATATCCATTGTTGGATACATGGCTTTTTGCAATCGCCCAGTGATTTAAATTCAGCATGTCTTGAGGATACGCTCAAGGGTCATAGCACCATGAGGATGCACTGCAACTAATTTTAGAATAATGTGAGAAATCTCTGTTTCTTCATAAAAAGGAGTAACACATTTTGGATTTTAGTTTTTGTCACAATGCACTTAATACAGAATTACACTGATAAGAAAAGGAACGTAAGTTTTGCATTAATTACTCAGCAACCAGCACTGTACCATGCATGATTTACACAGCATGAGGTACATAGTATGCATGTGGATCAGTACCCAAAATAATAAATGCTAGTAGCACATGGCTTTAGAAAAAGTTAGAAGATACTAAATTTAAAAGAATAGAATATATTATTCTCTCAATATAGTACAAAATTGTACTGTCAAGCTTGCTGCCATAAGATGTGGAGAGTGGGATTTTTAGAATTTAAAAAAAGAATAAGGCATAAAAACATTTTCTGTGTGAAAATGATGTTCTTTTTCACAAATTTTTTTCCTCTCATTTTTAAGATTTTCATATCAAAGCTAGAGGCCTTGAATAGTCATCACTCCTTCAAACACAAGCTTTTCTCATAGTCTAACACACTGTTTTTGAAGTTTTTGGCAAGCAAACATTTTAATAAAAGAGGAACTATAGCCATAGAGGAAACAGATGAAAATTAAAGTAGCATAGCAAAAACATAATTTTTGGGCCTGGAAGCAGGTGCTGAGAACTGATTTTAAAACACAAGCTCAAAATCTGCCCACCTTTTCATCTTTATTTCTGCCCTTCCTTTCCTCCCCCATTCAGACAGACATTAAAAAGGAATTACCAATAACCTTAAAATGGGCAAATCATGGTATCTGTGATTTTCCTCAGGTATTGAAACCATTGCTTTTGGCCAGGTTCCAAATTTTCCTTTCTTGTTCATAATCAGCATTTGTGAGTTACATTAAGTTGGAATCTCCAAAATGTTGGAGTTTTTTCCATGTTGCAAATACTATATAAAACTGCAAAACAAGTGAAAATAAAGAGAGAATAAAAATCAGTAATTCCATAAACAGGACTGGAACTGAAACTTATTTTACTTGCATGATATTCAGTAAAAACCTTCTCTTCTGCCACTTCCAGAATCTTAACTACGAAATGAAAGAAAAAGTTAAAGCGTTTATTTGGATATTTTCAACTGTTTTCATACATATGCATAATGCAATTGGTTTCCTGCTAGTTTGATTGTAGTAATTTATCCTGTACACCACAAAAATAAAAATAGCTCCTGGAGAGTTTAAATTGTCTGGCAATGAAGATTATATGGGAGCAAAAGTCTATTATCTGCCAATGCTGGAGAAATTAATGCTTAAATAAGGTTAGTATATCTAAATATATTAAATCACCTAAAATTTTGCCACTCATAATATTCTATCGTTGTAAAAGACCAGTGGTCAATGATCTATCAAAGAAACAAAATGAGAAAGTATAATTTATTTGGCTCGAAAGATTTCTGTGGGGAAAAAAAAGAACAGTAATTTTAGAAAAATATTGAATGCCTTTCTGTATCACAAGTCAGTGTTGAGTAGATGTCAAGCAGTACTTCTGAATTTTATTTCTCTTTACAGTAGCAAGAGTTTCTCCCACATTTCCTTCTGGATTTGGGGAATTCCTTACTTTGAAGCTCCACTGGGCATTAGTCCCCAAAATATAACATGGTTTTTCTGTGTGCATTTATGACTTTATTTAAGATTCTCTCTGCTGAAAACTGAAACAGTCAAGTGTTTGACTCTTTTGGCTGTGACTCATTCACAGACAAACTGAAGGTTTTCATTATCACTGGCCAAACAAACACAAAGTATCTGTTTGACAGGGTGTTTTTCACCACTAGAAAATTCACCATTTTCTGTGGTACCTCTGTCAGAGAAACCTTTGGATCACACATACATTAATTTATAATTTTTCAGTTTCTTCTACTCCAGCAGCACATTATGATTTTGGCTGGTATGTAAGGTTAAAACCAGCTCCTGATTGTTGATTCAGAGAGAGATTGTATTTTCTACCTCAAGGAACAGTGGATTTTTCCTTCTCTTTTCCTTGGGGAAAGGGATGACAGTTACCTCCAGAAAGAGTAATTTGAGGATCATTCCTGCAGACTCATTTTTCTACGGGTTTTACCTCATCATCAAATTATCTGAGTAGAGGATCTCCCGCTGCTTAATGAATTTCAAGACATATGAACTAGAGACAGTCCTACCTCCTAAATAGTACCAATTAATTGATGATTAATTTAATTAAATTTCTCATACTTTTTGAAAGATGCTCTGAACAGAACTGTGACTACTCTTGGTACCTGATTTTTAAACACAGAATAATTTCAATCACCCAGTGCTCTCTTGCTCCCCATTTTCAATCAAGCTCATACAAACCCCTGTTGCTGCTTAACACTTTCACTGGTTTTAAGCAGTGAAAAGGTTAGGAATAAAGCACCATATTTCTACAGATTCCAGAAGAATCTTGCCATTTATTTGGCTCTGAGCAGAGAGAGTGATGCAATTCACAGACTGGGTGATTAGAGCACTTATTGGAGGGGCAGAGAGGTTCTTATTGTAGTGACTTTTCAGTCTTTCATTCAATCTGAATTGGCTTCAAATGACAAAATTATACTTTAAAATGCCTTTTATCCTGAATGTTCTCCAGGCAAATGGGCATCAGGGTTCAAATCAGCACAAACAGAACAGGGTATTGAACAAGTTTCTATATGAGTGTCAGTCATTACAATACTGTTAAAAAGCACTGACCTGCTTTAGCTTCCTCATTTGGCAAATTCTTCTCAGAATTTATTTCAGCTGCTTCACTTTCTTTAAAGATTTGTGAAAAGAAACATTTTGTCTTGGGCTGAAAGGACACAAGAGAGTTCTGGTCATATTTCTTTCCCCCTAAAACCTTCAGTGGTAGCAGCAAGGGATGGATTCTGCAGACTTTGTGTTTGTGAAATTGAGGACAAGGTTTGTTGTTCTGTTGTTTCCTTGATTTAACTCAGATCGCATTGACATTATCAGAAATACATTTAACACTAGTGATAGTCACTTGTTACTGGCACATTTTGGTTTAAAAATTCAAAAATTACTCAAACTCTTAAGGTTTCCTCTTAAGATTAGATCCAGGCAAAGACCTCCCTGAACTTCTGCAGGAGGAACATCTACTAGCACTTAACTGCAGCCCATTCCCAGTTTCATTTTTCCTTGTTCTCACAGTCCCCTGAGGTGAGATGTCTCTCTGGTGAAATAGCCATGTCTGCTGCCAATGAGACCAGCGGCATTATTCACCAAGTTTTCATATTATTTAATAAAAACTTGAGAGGATTCAGTGTAATCTTGGAGGAATATCTGCAGTGTCTCAAAAACTTGAACTAATTTCACCATTTTAGTATCACAACCCTTGGTCTGCACCAAAGGGTCTTTGTGAAACGCAGTAATTAAGCAACATCTTCCCACTTTTAATGGAGATGGATAATGAGTTTCTAACAAGAATGGATGATGTCTCTCATTTCTGATTAGAATTAGTAATCCTAGGGAGGGATAGCCACCCTAAACCTGGGAATGAAAGAAACCAATCTAGGCCAGATATAAAGGTTAAACTTAATGTCTTCAAAAAGCTGAGGAGGAAAAAAAAGAAAATAAGAAAGGAAAGGAAAAAGGAAAAAGGAGCACCAAAATGCAGCAAGTATATTTTCTCATCATTTCATTGGACTTGAAAGGGGTGCTTAGTCATGGAGTAAACATCTTCCTCCAGAAAGCACATAAATCTGCCCTGTACATCCCTTACTGCTCTGGGAAGGAATAAATTTCTGTCCTGGCCTTCAGGTCTTTGTGTGCTGTGTATTATGCCTGAAGCATTTTTTCACTGTCACATTCTTAAAACTTTATTTGGGTATTTTCAATGCATTCCTTTTCTGGTTGCTCTAAAACCTTATTAGGTACAACTAAGGCTGATTTTTTAAAATCTGTGTTATCGTAAAATAACTTCTACAAAATTAAAGCCTACCATCAATCTTTACATTTATTTCCTTAGGTTAGGGTATTTCTTGTTATGTCTTTTCTATTTTTAAATAAGTAGAATATATATCAATTGAAAAGTTGAGCATGTGAATAAGTGAACTTAGCATACCACAACTTACTGTGTTCTTCTAATTACTCTTCAATGTTCAAATAATTTCCTATATCTAATTTTAATTACTGTTAGAGGAAAAAAATATTTTCCTCTAATTAAAATACAAATTTCACCCAAACAAAACTTTGGCAGAGAAGAAATCCGGTAATCCCAAAAATTAAATAGACACTTCTTAAGAAAAATTTCTTGAGCAATTAACAGTCCTAGGACATTTTGCAGACAACAAATATTACAAAGTTAAATTCCAGATTGCTGAATTGAGAAAAAAGTACATTGGTGCTCAAGTTTTAGTTTTTGATAGCCAGAATTTTTCCAAGAAAATAGGCCTTCTTGATGAGCCTTAAATGATATCTAGCTGGCATTACCCAGTGTACAATTTTTCTCTGACTCTTCATAAACAAAATCAATATATCTAATTTTAAAAATAACAATTTCATACTTGTCCTGCAGGTTGGGATGTTGGACAATATGGAAAACCCTCATCTTGCAAGTCCATGTGACTTGGGGAAATTAGACTATATTGTGCAATTTTCTGCCAAACCATATGAAAACTCTCTATACAGCCCTAAGCTACCATCTTCTCTGAAAAACAAACAAGCAAACAAAACAAAACCCAAGAGCAACAAACCAGACTGAAACAAAGCAAGAAACATCCCTGATATCTGGAATAAATTTACATTCATGTGCATTTCTTACATCTCTACAGATGCTGATTGCAGACAAGCTTCTTGTGAAAATAACCTGTGCTACCAGAGAAAGAATAAACCAGGCATAATTCTTTGGTCAGATAAAACAATCACCAAGAACAGAATCTGTTCTGCAATCCTCATCTTGTAAAGTACTTCAATATTGGTACTTGAACAGAACCTGGAGAAATGAAGAGCCATCATTTGCGGCCCTTTATCTTCTTTCCATTCCCTGGTACCAGGAGCCTGTGGGTATTTATGTTTCATCTGCATGGGACTCCATTGCACAGCTAATGTGATCTGCACTAATAACTACACCCTGGAATTACTGCTGTGCTAATGTCTTCCCACAAACCCTCTTGTCCTACCACCTGACAAAGCACTGCCTGTGGGGAGAACAGCTGTGACTGCCCCATTTTTGATTTCTGTATTTTGTGTGGTGTTGCAGTGTGTTGTAATAGCCTATTTTAAACTTCCGGGTCCCTCCCCAGGTGTGCCAATACCCTCTTCCCCTCCCCCCCTCGTCCATTGCTGGGTGAGTCCTGTCAATCAGGCTTAACATTCCAACAAGGCGTTGTGTCGTTGGGCAAGTTCAAAGGATGCCCCTCAGGCCCAGAGGTCATTGGTCTGTCTAGCTGTCATTCTCCCCTGAGACCCTGCCCCTCCCACCTGGTTGATGGCTCACCTGTCCCCTCCCCTCCCCCTGCTCCGGGAGCTTAAAAGGTGAATCAGACCATGCAGCCGCGATTCTGTTGGAGCTGTTCCTAAGATTCAGACCTCTGTAACCATGGAATAAACCTCTGGATATAACCCTCCAGCAGAATCCTCTCCTTCTTTCTCTTCACCATCGCCTGAAGCTTTCCTCCTGAGGTAAACAGAGTTCCTAACAAGCCTGGACTTGTTTAGTGCCCAGCTGCAACCACCAGCAAGCTAAAGGTGTCTCTGGGGCGATACACCACAGCTGCCGCCTTTGGCCTAGCAGCGAGGGTCAGACTGGCCCAGGCACAATCTAACTGGTAATATTGGGATTCATATTCCAATAGTGTGGGGCTCAAAGACGCTGTGGCACAGTGAGAAATGCCCTGGCTGCACACCTGAGCCCCTCCTGAGGTGTCAGAGCATCCCTCCCTCCTGTACAGCTGCACCTGGAGTGAGACTGAGCTGTGATGCCACCCAGAGATGCTCCAGCCTCAGCAAACAGGGATGCCCTTTCGTGAGCAATTGCCACCAGTCTCAGGATGAAGAAATCTGTAGAGAGGGTGATTTTTTTTAAAAAGCATATCCAGACAGCACAAATATGTGATTCTGTTTAAATATGTTTAAATATTTCCGTGTGATTTTGTCTAAACATATCTTTCTTAGACATGGAAGAAGAGGGGCCTGAAAGAGCATAATATTTTAAAGATGTTTATTTCTAAAAGTACTGTGAGGTATACATCTCTTGGGCAATAGACTTGCTTGTAATAAAGTACAAATTAGTAAAAATACACTGAGTCACATTTCTGCACATGGGCTATCCTCTAGCTTTAGGCAAAACACTACAAACATCTGCTGTATCTACTGCACATCAGCAGTCTGCTGATGTTATAGTTTTTACTGCGGATTTTAAGTGTGGTATTTAAAAGCAGCAGATGTATATCTGAGGATTCCTTTCAAAGAATGATTACAGCTACGGAACATGCTTGGCAGATTTATATACATTCAATTTTTATAGGTTTACTCTTAAATGTTTGTGAAATACGTAGGGCAGAATTGTTCAGATACCAGGCTATGCTCCCAGCAAAAAATCTTAGGTTTTAGCTTTATATGTGGGTTGTTTGGGCAGAGAAACACACCCTGTGCCAGAACAGAACAGGTTATTTTGACTGCAGGCAGTACAAGACAGTCCTGTGAACTCAGGACTTTATATTTTACACATTCCCACAATGCATCCAACATTAGAATTGACACCTCAGTTATAAAAGCACAACTACATCAGGAATTATTTATAAAGAAAAAGAACAAAGAAGAGTACTCACAGCTTTAATAACACTTTTAAAAAGGATTATTGCAGCTTTTGGATTCAGCATGGAGATGGAATATAGTCTGGGGCTTGTGCAATAGGGAAAATGGAGGAATCAGGTGACTGCATATGCGAATGTTCATTTACCTATATGGATCCACAGGGAATGCTTTATTTACCATCCTTTTGCAGACAGAAACCATTTTCCATTCTCCATCCCTTTCTCGTTCATAACCCAAAAAGAGAAATGCTGATTTCTGCTGACCTTTGGCCAGGTGGGTTAAAGGGGGAGGTACCCAAATATGCACCTGGACATCATCTGGATCAATTTTACCAATGATCCTAGCTGAAACTGCTGCTTGGGAGAACAGCAAATTAGGGAGGAGAAGGTTTGCAAATGCCTACCTAAATTTTGTGAGCCATGCCTAGTTCTACTCCATATATTTTAACTAGAAATAATTATGTGAAATTCAAAGTTCCTGAAAAAAAACATGTTTAATTTCCTTTAGTTCCTTATTTCCATTGCAATCAGCACAAAGCAATAGCTACTGTAGGACTAAGCCATTTAAATAAGAAGAATGAAAGAATCATGAAATACATATAAAGAAGAAAGAACATGAAATACATAAAAAGGTCAGGCTTTTCTTTTCCATGTACAGATTGTGTGCAAACTGATATTTCAACAAATGTCCAGACAGTTGCCTAAATGAAATACATGGCTGTGCCTGTGTTTGAGAACCTTTCTGTTAAATTTTCATCAATGGGTTTTGGCCTGGACCTGGCAAATTCAGAACCTTTGCTGAAAGGATCCTACAAACTTCCAAGGAAATTAAGTTACTATTTGTTCCTGAGGACACTTGATCACACAAGTCTGTGCTTAGATATAAATACCTACTAAAGGACTATGCAACTAAGAGCTGTGTGTCAGGTTTATTATTATTAGTAGTATCAGTATTAGTATTTGTATTAGCATTAGCATTAGTATTATTAATCTGGTCATTCTTTATGATCCATTCA